TAATTGTACGTAACATTACCAATGATAAAACTACAAACCCACAATTTGTGTTCAACAAATTCTTGACGGGTAGAAGCCTAGGGCCACTGTTTGATTTTCCAGGCCTAAGACCATATTAATACTAATAAATATTTAAAAAGAGAAACCTAATTAAATGGCCAAGCGGCCATATACCCTATGCAGTTTCCTGCGGCTTTTGGCATGTAAGCCTTCTGTCAGGTGACCACAATATTGTACTGAAAACGATCGATTTTATCGCTAAATACGCCCAACGTTCGCTGACTAATGGTAGGGCGAGAAGACAACAGTTCATTGTAATATGTGGGCTAATAATTTTATCCTCAGACAATGCGTTTAAACGCCTTGAGCTATCAGTGACCTTAGCTCTTTCGACCAGATCTCCGCTACCGCATAGACCAGTTAAGATACAGTTGCCTGGCCAGCTTTTGACTGTTTTAGCCGCTTCTAGAAGATCTATCAAAATCACTGTCGAAAGACATACTTGATACACATTCGTTAATTTGGGACTGTTTTAGTAACGTGTTTATTCACTTCAAATTTTTTAAACATTTAAGTAACGTCGCGAACTCGTCACAGCGGACCTTTTGACCCTGCCCATTAACAAAATCAGTCGCCTTAATGTAAGGAACAGGTGCGCGCCTGAAGCGTCCGAAGCCAGCCAAACTGTCCCTAATATGTGTAAATATTGAGCTGTTTTATACAAGTGATCTTATTTTGTAGCCATAAATGGACCTTCTTGTGAAGTTGGCATTACGTTAAACTATATGGCAATAAAATTGACTGAGTACCACTGCCGTACCCTTTACGTATGACATCACTTTTTCACTGTTCAACCCCATATGTCCTTGATTATATAAGGCAAACGTCTTATTGTCGTGCCGTAAATAAATCGTCTGAGGCAATACCTTACGGTAACTATAACGCTGTAAAAATATGTGCAGCACTCTGTAGAAATAACATATTTCGATTCCTACAATTACATATCAGTAAGATAAATGCACTTATAATAGTAGACTTAGAGTATCGAAATAAGAAAAAGCGGTGTGTAGTCTGTAGTCGATGAGCTTGTCCCGGCAGTACTTCGATTTAAGCATGAATAACATTATTTTGTTTACAAATATGTAAACATTTAAGCAGGGAGAAGAAGCGGGAAATTCATTTATAATTTTAATACACATTGTAAGACAGTATTATTCTTGCTTCAAGGTGACACATACTTACCAAAGGGTGAACCTACAAAGTGCTCAATTATCTGACATCAAATCTATGGAAATCAACTAATACTTTATTTAACATTTTCAAAATATTCAATTTATTCTAACCTTAACATTCCCTAAGCGTACGAGATTTAACCTCGTCAATATCCTAAACTAGTTAGTATTTGCTTAGCGCGGATTTATATGAATAGATAGAAGGATTTTTCAGACAGATCGAAATATTTTCCCCAGTCACGAAAAGGCCACAGCTGTGTGTATATTGAGTTTGTAGGGACTAAGGACCAATACAACGGATGAAAACATGCATAGCTAAATCACATACAAACATATGTACTCGGAAAGGCATAAACCTTCTTCAAAATTAGTCGAACCGACGTGCAAAACAACCATTCAGCATTACCATACTTCTAAATGTAGGACTGAACAGCACGGTTCGAACTCCGGTTCCGATTCTTTGTCGAGTAATTTTTTCATCCTGGAAAATTGTCCTGGTCCCAAATGCAACTTAGTTACACCGCGATTTCCGAACGTTCTTTAAATAATTGTTTTATTATATGATAATTTTAGTGACTTCACCTACGCTGGAAGCCGCTTAAGGCATTACCTTCTTAAGGCAAAATTCTGTCGACGGGTGCGGGCCATAGCATATACATAGAAGGTTCTTAATAGCAAAAATTGGTGACGCATTCATTTCGGAGTGGGGAGTGCTACTAAGTGCGTCCTATACTAACCGAAACATACAGTACGAGTTATACACGTGGACGGTTCTCGGATTCGTGTAATTACAATATCTCTAACCATATAACGCAACGTAATAAAGTTATCCAAGTTAGACTTTTCGTATTATTTGTCTAAATCTTCGCTTAATATGGATTAAGCTAAAATAAAGACCACAATATTTAACTTTTATGTGACATTAATATACCAAATTTCACAGGAGCACATACTTTCAACTAAGATAATGTGACCGAGTGTGCCTAAATGTCAATTCTAACCTAGTCCTGAATAGATCGCTCATTTGCGGCAGTGGTTACAATCCATCCTGTGCTGGTCGAGAGCCATACTTTGCTGTTTTTTGTCTAACTATCGAGTAATAAATAAAATAAAAAGAGCGAGCAAATAAACTTGTCAGATCTTGTTTGTCTTCGTAAAGGTTATTCCAATAGAAGTGAGAAGCACTTGTGCCACAGTTCGTGAAACGTGTTTATAGAATTTTAACACAAATAGAAGGCCGTAGATCAGGAATTGGACTTTTAGTTTCACCTTCTGTATTGCTGTTTTTACTGGTTTGATTCGATATTCCAAAAATAACTCCATGTTGCGTCAGATAATTACGGACAACTTCACAAGTTCACAGGATGTAACGTTGCAAAAGCTTTTTAATGTTGTGTCTGTGTGAAGCTCTAGAATCCGAGCTCTCGTAAGGTTCAACCATGTTCGTAACGAGAGAAACTAACTACGGCAGAACACGAACTAGCCAAGGCTGAAGACCGTCCGCAGCACGCGTTTCACTTTCCGCTGGCTTTTGTACACACACAGATGATTAAACGGGACAAAGGTTCAACAGTAAGCATCAGACTGTCTCTTCAAGTGGAAGACAACGCTTGGCATATTTTCTAAGCCCAATTTAAGTAAATACATTCGATGGCCAACAAGGTATCATCCTAACCGCAGTTCTTCTTTGCCTCGCGTTTCACACTAGATACGTTGCACGTATTAGCATATGCTAGATACGCTCATACGCGCAGAGACCTCTACAGAACTTTCGCCAGTCTTCTAAATTTTCTAGTAGCCCATTTTGCGGGGTACGAACCCTATAGGGTTGAAGAAAGAAGACGACTCGATCAGATCAATAGGAAAGCGTTAGTGAGATGCAAGCCCGCACCTCATTTATTAGCTACGGTTGAAAAAAAAAGCGTGCTAAAATACCTGAGGCCCTCGATTTGTAATTTGTCGCTTGCGTCATGTCGCTAGCATGGCAAGGATGCAGTGAATCTATATACGATGATCTGTCTTCCTCTTCTGCATTTTCATTTAGTTTCTTATTAAGCTTCCGTTATGCCTCATTTGATTAAACGTAACTTATCCAGATGCAAAGTAATCTAAGGTCAACAAATAACCGGATACCCGTAATAGCATTGCACTGTAGTGTACGTTTTTTTCTAATTACTGTTACCGCTATTCCGCATTTCAGAAGAGAGAGGGTTGTTCCTGATTAGACTGAAAGTTTATTGAACAGGTATAATCTCGTAGGAAATTTCAAATCGACAGACGTTATAGCACCGCGCCCCGTATCTCAGTATTCTTTTTCATTGCATTACGGATTAGCTGAGCTTTACTTGCTTGTTTGCCAGCGTGTCTAGATCGAGCTTTGCCACATCTATCTCTGAATATAGTAGTGACGGCGCTCTTTCTCGAGGATTTACGACTAACATTCGACTCAGTAGAGGTGCGTCTCTGTTGCAAGTATTCATCCGAAAGCCATCACCGCATTTGAATGGCGAGGAGCATTTCGCTTATGGGTCGTCGGATGAGGTCTTTCCAACGATTAGTTAGGTTTTTATGCGCATTCGTGTTGATCTCCGATGAATACCTAATGAATCGGCCAATTTCAGGACCAGTGAATTAGGCCTTTGTGGTTTTGTCATACCAGAGCTCCGATTTTAAATAGCTAGTTATGCATTTAAGTTGGACAGTGTGAAGTTAATCATTCCTAAAATTCAGTTTAATATTGACTCTCCGAGTTCGATTAAAATGACATGTGTGCATGATCTCGCCAGTGTGAAGTAAGACACTTCATGGCTTTAGAATTTTTTGCACGGTCCGTTGAAAATTCGGTAAAGTCCTAATGCCGCTTTTTCGTAGGTTGAACTTTTTTGATCTTGGCTCACTTATAGCTACAGTCTTTACTTCATATGTAATTTGTAGTTTTTTCTCTGATCGGGTTCCAGAAAAGGGCTCACATAGGTCTGAAAAATTTTGCGGTCAAATTGCATTACTTGAGATGGCGTCGGAACTTTCTACACTTGAATTTTACATTACCTCCCTCACATGTTCTTCATGAATAGGAAGAGCTCTTGCTGTAGTATTACTTTGTTACCTTTTTTAGCCACGAGCTTATATGTCCATTTAGCACATAACGTTAAGGGCGAGCATGCTATCGCTGCGTCATTGCGACGAATGTTCGTATTTGGGGGCTAGTTGTCTCGAACAATGCCTGACGGCAAACTGCGATGTAAAATTTGAAACTTTTCATGAAACGTTTTATAGAACTTAATGTATCGATTGCTAACTATTACAAATCAATGAAATAAACACACAGTAGTAACAAGCTATCAAAATGCATCAAAATATCGGAATAAGCAGAAACAGTCCCTAATCGTCACTCTGAAACTCCCAATACCTAGTCATTAAAGCCGCTTGGTCCAAACATGATAATAATATTTGTGAAAAGTTGGCGAAACAGCCCTATATTTTTCCTGTCGCTCCAAAGCTATAGTAATGCATTATAATAGAATGGATGAAGTTCCTTTCCGCATAATTACTATCTATGAATAATCGGTGTACCATTTTTAGTCCATTAGTTTCAGTCTGTACAACCCAGAAATTCTATTTTGGACATATAACATTGTTGCTGTGCAGGTGTACACATGTGGAACTATACAGCCAGAATATCACCAAGACCATACAGCACAATGTTACACAGTGAAAAAACTAGCAAAGGTACCACATGACTCTCTAGCAGAAACGAAATTACTCGAAGATCTTTCAGGAATTAACTAAGAATTTATTTCAGATGATTTAAATTTAAAATTTTCAACATTTTAAGAAAAAAACCTGATCCGGATACATCGTATCGATATGTTCATGTGTAAATGTAATTCAACTTTCTATGACGGCTTTACTATTATTGTTGTTTTTTTTTTCCTAGAGAATAATGCATTCGACTAACGCTACATTGAGCAATACCCAGTAATATCCGATAAACGTAGTCGATTCATCCCCCACAAGACCAAGTGGCCATTGTTGCACAGTAAAAAATAGCTAAGTACTTTCCTCATCCTTGTAAACGATATGCATGTATCTATCATACAACGAATGCATTGTACCCTACGCATAGGGTCACTGTTATATGATGTGACCTATCATTACGCGCAACGTTATCTGAAAGAATAGAAAACCCTTGTTTAGCCTTGATTCAGTTTGTGAACGAACCGCTCAACCAAGACACGCTCCTAACTATTCTGTTTCATCGGTAGCAGAAAGCTGAACGGCTTCTATCAGTTGGAGCCAACAGTGGGATCTATAATGATCTGACGCGTCTCAGGATTGAAATGAGGTTGTGACGCCCAACTCAGCACATCGGCGTACATGTCCAAACGTTGAGTCATCTGTAATAAGAGAATATAATTCATTCATTCAATGGTAAATTTTATTTTCGGAAGATCAATCTTCGAATGACAATAGGACCAACGGTTTATCAGTGATAACACTGGTTTGTCCAGAAGCTGATTATGTACAAATGGAAAATTTTAGCAACTCTGCCACAGTGGCTATGCTTTATTTCTTGGACTATTGAAAACTTCCTGTACGACATACAAATTAACGCGGGCTACAAATGTTCGCCAAATGCATATGCTCACCAGTGAAGGAAAATATATTAGGCCAAATGAGTTAAACACTTGCTTACCCGAAATCCCCAGAGATCGCGTATTTGCCGATTGAGGTTCAGGTCAACTTCGGTAACGAGCACGCCTTCACGAGTACGGCTCAGGCCCTATTACGACCACAGTATGATAAAAAAAGAGTCAATACTAATCGTTGTTTACTAATGCTAATTTAACTGAGGCATAAATGCCTGCGTTAGAGAAATTCTATCACCATACTCATGTAGCTAGGGTCTTAGCTAGATGTTTGTTAATTATAATAAAAGGGCAGACTTGAATTTGTTTTTTTTTTTTGTTTAAACATACCGGAGTGCGCGATCCGTCTGGCCCGGCGACGTAGCTTGATCCGTAGAAATAACCAAACGCTTTGTGGGCTGGCTTACCGTCACCCGAGGTAAATTCAGTTGGAAAAATCTCCTAAAATCATGAGCAAATAACATATGTATCTATGGTGGCTCTGGGTTTTTTTGAGTCCCGCCAAAGGGTCGTACTACACAAGCTGTCTGCACAAGGTACGTTATTTGATGTATAATTGCAAGTTATGATTATGCTAATCCAAAGCAGAGCTGTTCGTTCTAGCAAAATCGGAGCAAGGTTGAATAAGGTGTAGAATGAAGCGTGCAAGCAAAAGTTGTTCCAGTTATAGGAATCTGGAATGATGATAATTGTTTTTGCAGTTTACCGTTCCAACACGGTTAATAGCGGCGGTGAAGTAAGAATTAGCCACGGCAGCACAGCGGGCTTCAATTGGCCAGATAGCTTCGCTGAGGCCGTCGACGGTCGCGGAGGGGTTGAACACAATGTCTGCGCCGTGAAGAGCAAAAGCCAACCAGTTAAGAGGATGATGTCGGCCATAGCAGATGTTGATGGCAATTCTGCCAAACGCTGTCTGGAATACTGGGTGTCCAAGGCGGGATTCCATGTAATACGTGGACTGAAAAACAATGGAGTCTGTCAGAAGCAAATCAGCTCTCCAGTAGACGTTCTTCATGCTGGGCAGTACTTCGGGACGCACTATCTTATATATATATATATATATATGTATATAATATATATATATATATATATATATATATATATATATATACGCAATTCTGAACGCGATTAGACCTCGAGACCTTCAGCAGAGGAAGTCACGGCAATCATAGACCCTTCTGCTCTTTGGCGACGGTCTGCGGTGCCATTGATGCAGTACGGTGTAGCTAATATGATATAGGTGGTAATAGTTGTGCAAATTATGTTCCAAATAGACGACACGTGCTTCTATTTTCGCTGGAGTCTGATTTTCTTTGTATCGTATAAATTGTATTCTTGTATCTAAATTCTCTATTTCCTAATGGGACTTAATCGGCCTATAGTCGTAGATAACAAAAGATGTAAACAATTATTTAACTTTCATTTGCTAATGTATCATAGTCATTTAGCTTGCTAAATAACACCAGGTCAATATAATAATGTGACTTTGTTTAAAGTCCAGCTAGCCGAGCAATAGTTGCGCCTTCGTGTTACCATATCATATAGTCTCTTATTGCTACTCTCATCTTGTGACCATTATCTGGCCATTGTCTGGGCTTATTATATTATATCAGTGGAACGCTCGACATGGATGGGTCCAAAAAGTCAAACGATACTACTAGCTACTGCGTACCTCGTTGAAATCCCCAATCCGAGGAATATGGTTCTTACGCGACTTCCCGAGTACCGCGCCCGAATTCGATATGACCACCGCAGTATTCCAGATCACATCTTGTTCGTCGCGTTCAAGAATCGGCGCAATGACAACCATGTTATGTCTGAAGCGATCACCATCGTTCAATACTTTGTTAGTCTAATAACGAACGAGTAGGGCCGTTCAAATAGCGACCACCACCAACTGGATCTCGTGTTCTACTATACTATCATTTTCTGTGCTATAACAGAGCCTGCGACGCAACATAATAATAAAGCTCAGTAACAATACGGCATTTCACGTACATCGAAGGTTTCAAGACGCTGTGCTGATAATATTTACTGAATCATTTAGGGGGTGATCATCTTCGGGGTTAAATAAATCGTCCTTACGTCAGATATAGTCTCGTTTTTTTTTCTTTACTACTCAACAATAGTCTATTTTTGAGCCTACGTTAACTTTGTGTAAGGTGGTCACATAGATCGATTCTTCTGAATCGTATTTCCACATAGAGCAGTGCGACATATACCTTTGTGCTAGGGTCTGGCATCGCTTGACGGTAGGGCCATCTTCAGCACTTTCAGCAAATTCACACCATGGTAATTTTTCACGAGTACAAAATGCAAATGGCATCGCTGAAATGACAATTAGGTCTTATTATTTAGTAAGTTTTTTTTGGAAGTGTTGTTAATTATTTAGATTGACATTTCGGGGTCCTTTGGATTCGGGTCGAAGCTTGAGTATCCTATTATATATCTATATATAATACACTGTACTGTACACACGACAGAACAAAAGAAGGAGAATAAGAATGATATTGTAACTAACTATTTAAATAGACGAAGAAACATTTGCAACTTGAAGTCCCTTTGTGCTTACAAAGTCACTGACACATATGCATTTGCCTCTTCCCTTATTTCTACTGTTAACGTGAGCGCTCTATACATTGGCGTTTCTGTGAAGCCTAAGCTCTCGCGATGGATACAGAAATCAGGCAAATATATCTCGCGTCTATAATTCGAGCGCTCTTAGGCTAAGGCAGTGCAACGTTGGCTCAGGTCGTTATACATAGGCATTTCTTCAGTGATGGTATTTTAGTTCTTACAGCAGGCTGGTCTCTTCTGAAGGTTTATTAGATTTATAAAGCTCACATTCTAGAGGTTCATATACAGAGAATGAATGCTGGAACAGAGGGACCAATATGCGCCTTCACTTTACAGTTTAGCGTCGTTTCCTAATAGCTCTCAAAGGCTATGCGTTGTACTTTTGCGGATCTCTGTACTGACGGTACGTTCAATGATCTTCACTAGATACTGAGAACTGCGTAAATAGGTATGTTCCGCAATTCTTAAAAAGGTCGTCGTCTCACGACAAAGTTTGCTGTCGACGTATCTATCAATCTTTAAGTTAATGAACCTCAAAAAAACACATTTTTGGCGAAAATATAGCAAACAATTAGCTTTATCGGCTTTCCGGTATCTTTGTTAGCAAATCAATCATGTATAGCCCGACTCGACATTATAATGAGGTCGCGTTGGTACCATGAATGAAATACGTACGGAATGCCTCCTGATAGCAGATAACATTGGTTCCGCAAAGCGCGGCAGCAGCCGTGAAAATCTCGATACGATCCAAAATTGCGTTCCGCTGCGCAGACAATGGCTGGTCCGTCGGCACCTGAATTTTGTTTTGTATGACAGCTATACGTACGCGACGAGGTGCGCGACTAAAAACATAAAAATATTTATGTTTAATGAAATGTTTACGATAGTGAAATTTCGTTATCAATAAATCTGATATGCTAAATACGAATAGAAACATCTGCTGTTTGTCGCTTATATACTTCTCTAAACGCTCTAGAGAGGGCGCCACCTTTACTCTGCTACAGGGGAGGATAGGGATGGGACGGTCAGAAGTCAGAGTAAAGACGCAGTTGATCATTTAGGGTCTATCTACATAGCTATTTTATATTTATTATTATTTAACCATTTATCCTTACAGAAGGAACGTTCAATTTTTCTTTGTAAAACAATACAGCGTACTCCAATTGTATCCTGTACTAGTGGATGCAGTAAAAAGCGACACGCTTTATGTAGTAGTGATAAAGTTGTTCGCCTAGTCCCACTAGGTGTTATCAATATTTACCAATACTCGTATATAAGTCCCGACGAGCCAATACGTTGAGGACTATTAGTTGAATATCGTAAGCTGTTAGTATCAACAAAAATATTCTTGAGATTTAACGGAGTATAGCATAGGAATACAGTGGGTATTTTCTTAAACGATGACCATTAAATCAATCCGTCCCTACGTTCTGTTAACCATAGCAGTAACATAAACGATGAACATTTCAATAATACTGTAACTATGACGGTAAAAACTTCGCACCTATCCTCATTGGCGGCGTGCATGGAATAAGCAGCGATCTCGAAATCATTTTGTTCTGCCAGACTCTTTGCAGACTCTGGAATGGTCAGTTCTCTAAAAACCAGATTGACTAGTTATTACAATGAAACGCTACGTAGAAGTTACGCCACGCGGCGGGTTTAAGGTTCTATAGTTGTTTATACAAAAATCTGCTTATCACCTTCAATATGACTAAAATATGTGAAATACAACCGGCTACGATTAGTAGCGCATTAACAAGCCAATTGAAAAAATAGCTAGATCCAACTAGCCAGATTTAAATTTAATTGACTAATCAATGTAATTCAATCGGCAAATAGGTTAAAACAAACGAATAAAATCTTACCCAGGTTTTTTTCCATAAAGAATCCTTTCGACTTCGTGAAGCTTATCTTCGGGTAGGTGATCACGAAGGATCGATTCCAAGCTCATCATTTGGGGACGTTCCGACATCGCCTTTAATTGGGGACAGGACAGCGTAAAATGTTGACAGGATAACCAACCCAATGGGTGCTAATACCCTGTAAATTATGGGGCCAAAATCTGTGATATCGTGTTAGGGCTTTGAGTGACCAGTACGCTTGTGAATACACTCTAACAACGAAATCAAGAACAAATCTAGAAAACGAAAATCGTAATTACCTTCGTTGTTACTGTAACTAAACTATGAACAAGGTACTGTATTCTCTAAAGATTAGCAGGCACTCAGACAACTGCTTAGAACTGCTGCTGCGTAGAAGTCCTGCAGGCAGGACTCCTCAAAAGCCTACAGAACAACATGGTTCTTCTTTCAGTTTGGCGCTGTAAGTAATATTTTTCCAATCTGAGTTCAGGCATTTCTGTTTCGTATTTGTTACTTGTATGACTACACCCAGTGTCCGAGGAGCTTGAACGCGGCTCCACGTCGCCTTCGAACGAAAGAACACTAATGTCGACGGGCTCATTGTAAATCCGAGTGTTTAGCGCAACTAAATTATTAAAACGAATCCGTCATATAATGATATCATATAATAAGCATGTTCCTAGCTATCGATATGGGCATGGAGGCTCGTAAGCGCGTAGAAATAGTTTGTTCCAGAAGGATTTTCAGTGTAACAAATTTGGGCCATTATGCAAAAGATCTGCGGTGCAAATTGTTCGAGTATAGTTCTCATTGAGTTAAGGGAACGACAACTATACGTAATCTCGTTATTAGTTAGACAAAGTAAACACCGTGTATGTTTAAACCGGTTAAAAAATTAATATGACGCTGCAATGATATTGTCAGTAGCTTCGGTATCGAGGATAAAATGTCGGTCGGCATACCAAAAGTATGAACTGCGCGACCTTATCTTCAATATTGGTATGACGCGAAACCCTCAATAGATAAAAGAACGAGTTTTTTTGTTCTTACAACAAATATCATGTTTCTGTCCGGGCGTGTACCTAAACATGCGCCTGCCCTTGGCCCAGTGTACTGGAGCATGCGCGGATCAGTATGAAGCTGGGGGCTCGCGATCTGTCGGGTACAAGTTAAGCCCTCCTGCCCTTAGGCAACTTCCCTCGGTAATAAGCTTGCTTCTTTAATACTTCAGTGAACGCTCAATTTCCTGCTGAAGTATGGCGCCTGTGACTCTTAGCGCATTCTGGAATTTCTACACAATTTTCTAATAAAAATATTTTGCTGTTACGTAATAGAGACGTACCTAGTTAACTGCATCGTTATACGTTTTTGACTTAGGACAGGTCTGGTAATTCGTATGTTAAGATCTTTTTTAAGTACGCTCATGAAATTGTCATCACGAGCATGTTTTACTCATAGTGGGAGTATTTTGGACAATGGCTTGCTATATGCTTCGTTCAGTTCTACATGGACTACCCCAGCTGAATGAAGTTGCACTGTTTGCAAGCTTCTGTACGGAGCTCTGTCAATTAGAAACAGATAAACGTTCGTCAATACGAATTTTTCTGGAGTTTTTTTTTTTTTGATTTCATGTAGACGAGTACAAATGGTATAACAATGGGCCAGAAATATACCGTAGAACGCGCTGATGAATGCTGCAGTATTGAAGTCTACATCGTGAAACCGATGAACCGTCCCGTCTTTTGCAAATTTTGACAATTTTCGATCATTGTTTCATGCTCTTAATACTGACATTTGTTTTAGCACGATAGCTCGTTGTTTGTTTACGGTCGCGCGTATTTAGTTGTGCATTGAAGTGCATGTTTATTCTAGGTTACCTATAGCGGAGTGAATAGAACGCTTTACTGACCCGGTGACTACAGGCGTAAAGGAATCGACTCTTTTTTTAATTAAATGATATCAGTATTTTAAAAGTGCCATATACAGCCGTTAAGGTAGCCTATTCAACTATATGATAAGTTGGTCTGCTAAGATCAGAAGCAGTTGTCTTTGATATATTCACTAGTTGGCCATGCCGTCCAATCACTCACGAGTTTAGAAATCTATTAGAATAGCAGTCGAATAGGTTGCAGGGTAACGAAACCACTTTGAACTCAGTTAGAATAGATGTTTCGACTCCTACGTCTGCTACGACCATTAAGCATAGCTTCTGACGGCCGGTTCCTAGCAGGGAACGAATTGTGTCGGTGCCACTCTAGATCACTTCACATGTGCCGAAGCGTGACATCGCGTCATAGAAAAGCGTCACCATTGTCTCATAAAAACAGCATAATTAATTCCATACTTTTATTTACTTGTCGTTCTATATCAGGTTTCGCCAACCTTTTCAACTCGATCGGCAAAGCTCTCGATTGAACTCGAGAAGTGGTAGTAATTCTAATAAATGAAAATCTGTAGCATCAATTTGTGGGTTGTACAAGCGACACCGCAGTGTTTCCTAGAATCTATAACCGTGAGCTATGGATGATGGTAAAAACTGCCGCGGACCTTAGCGCTTACCACACTAGGCTAATTGAAAATTACTAAACAAAGGAAAGAGAGGCAGCAAGCTTACAACAAAATTACGACGAAGACAACTAAACTCTATGTGATGCTGGCGATGCTTTTCTCGCGTTAGGTTCTTTAGTCGACAGGAAATTGGTATTCCTTCTCCGTTGATGACCACATTTGTTATTCCAGCATCGCTAGACCCCAAACGCCCCGCAAGAATTTAGCGGCTCCATTCCCGTCGCACATTGCAGGTGTTGACCGTGACAACGTTGGGTTTGTTGGTGTCATGATAGCTCGATACAGACGCCAACATTAGCGATCACTCTCTATTTTGTAACACCGTTCATTGAACCTTAGCGTTTCCAACCTTCTTCCAAGTGCTAACTGAAATTGCTTACTTTAGCACCTTCACTTCCCAGGAATATACAATCTCATATACGAAGAACCACCGGTTAACATTGTCATAATATATAATGATCGCATTAGGATTGACTCGTTACATATAACAGTACCCGTATCCCTTAACTTGTTTACACTTTAGTCATATTGAGATGTCAAATCATCGTGGTCGTCAAGATCCGATAGGACGTTACATGTAAAAGAAACCGACAGCGCTCGCGTCCTTCGCCAGTTAAACAGCCCGATAAAAATGTATTCGACCATTTTTACCCTGACTTGAAGCACCTACGTTCTACAATTGAAATACAGACTTTTGTAGCGTACCGAGGTAACCCGCTGCGGATCAAAGTGCGTGGTAAGGCTGCATGGTACAAACAGTGGATGTTGCAAGCCGATGATTTCTCGCTCTGTTACACTTGGCCACATGGTCGGTCACCCAACATATCGGCAAGCAATTGCATAACTATGCAGCTATAACCGGACGATTCAAGAGCTATCTTGTAGACCGAACTTATCATAACTTCATGAGGGTTTTGTATAAAAAAATAAGGATCATTTAGCACATCGCCATGTTAATAAAAGACAATATGCTACCTTCTATCACTCACATCCAGTTGACCAACTAATTCGTGTTAACTTATTAAATAATATCACAGTTGTATTCATGATAACAGTAAAAAAAATTGAGAATTACGTTATTGGCAAGAAAGACGCAAGCATTTTTAACTGCTGCTGATGCTGTCCTTCCAGACCAAAGTCCTCCGAAACAATATCATATCCCATGCAGCTATATAGGATATTACTATCGAATCTAGTCAGACAATATTTACTTAGGTTTTTTTTTCAGACTCTAACATACATTCCGAAATGCACTTGATACAAAGCAGGATCTTATACTCAGAGACATCCTCCGACAACCGAAAAAAGCTTTCCAGAACGTGCTATCACAGTATTCGAAGGATAACTTTATGCCTCATGTACATTCAATGGAATAGGTGAAGTAAAATGAAAGCTTTGACGGATTCCAGTTACTTAATGTAAATTTTTATGTTATTAAAGAAACTGTCTATGCAAACGTCCGTAAAGGAGCATTAATTCTAAGCACTGCAGTCATCACGATACATTGTTTCGGCATTCAAGAGGTTATAACTACGATTCACCAGCTAATTAACTGATGTTGCTAACCTGCTTCGTACTGTGTCGGGTGGACGTAACGCTGCACTGAAACACACGTTACACGAGAGACGCACCGGCGTCGAATGATGCCTTTTCCAGAAATCTGCAAAGTGGCACGTTCTTTGACTGGTGTGGGGCTGTTTAATCTATCGTTTTACTGTCGACTTGCCCGCTTTATCTCTCCTCCGTGTGCGTATGCTTTGATGTGGATGTGTGACCGCTACGACTCTCCCATTGTCGAACAGACGGGATGGCGCTACGCGGAGCGTCCGTATTACCGTCGGCCAAAAGCACGCAAGTGCCAGAGCTACGACGACGCTCCACCGAGCGACATTCAGTACTGCTCCTGACAATAGATGCTTGACAGGCATAGGTTTCACAAGTTTCAGAAGTCAAAGAAAATTAAAACATGCGAAGGTAGATCTTTCACTAGAAGTGTCCATGACTGACGATAAACAAAACATATTCTATTGTTTTTGCCACTGCTCAATGTTTAATGATGCTGTTGACTAATGTTGCAGAGATTTTCAATTTCAAGACAAGCGATCATTAGAATAAAACTACTATCATTTTTTTTTTATAGATAATATTTTTAAAAGTTATAAGCGCTCATATCTGCATTGCGTTTGTCGCTATAGTCTAATTACATGGAGCATAGGCCAGCGAACCTTGGCCGTATCTATACGGCTTTAGCAATGTAAAGGCGGCAAACTGCCAACACATAACAAACTGACCCAGCGATCATTTGCATCTGTGTCGTTTTTTCAGATAACCGTCTTGAACGCGTCCGCCAAAATGGCGAGCCACTTACCAATTGCTAACCGCCTGCGCCCCAGGGGATCAAGGGTCAGGGTTAGTGTATTGATCCGAACTTTTTTCTTCTGCGTTCAGACGACACAGCACAACGCGGGAGGGGTTCGGTGCAGCGTAAATTCTCATAGCGTTCCTACAAATGTTGAAACTAAGAGCAGATCTAAAACTTGCTTCAAATAGTTCGCATATCCTAGAGAAGGATGCCGTTTAAAAGCTTGATAAAGATGAAACAAATTGCTTGCCTATAATTTTTCTGAGTATTTACCATAATTCTTTTTGACCCATCTCCATTCATCGAATGCTATCGGAAAGCTACACGTTGCTTTACATGTACACCACGAACGTGGTAAGAAAAAGAGAAACTTCTATATTATTATCACGTTAGAAACAACCACCATGTGTTATGTTCTCTAATAATTATGTTATATACACAGATGATTAGCTACGCTTGATATTTCCTAGTTAGACAGTTAACCTCGCTCGCGTGCTTGTAACATCTTTGTTGATTTTTATTTGTCACTATGAGGATCACTTGAAAAAATTGATCTAGCTAGTCAATAGCTTAATATTCGCTAAAACAAAAAACTGAGACAGAACTGCGTAAAAAGAGCTTCCCCGCCAAAGATCTTATACTATGTTGAGAACTTAGGTTACAGTTCTGCCCCTTTCGTTGTCAATGAAAGTTTCTAATTTAACCAACCGTTCTCTAGTCTACCATTCTGAAATGAAGTCTGCTTTGCGTATTATTAAGCGAACTTTAATTCTACGGGTTTTACGTATTTGTTTTAAAAGTGATCACTGATGTCTTTTAGACCCGAAATTATTGCAGACTCCCCAACCACTTGTGAGTGGTTTTTGCACAAGTTACTTTCCAATATTTCTATTTCGCTGCATCATTCGATGCAGAGCTATGAATAACTGACCGCTGATATTTCGAATCTCTTCTCTTATAACAAGGCCCTAATTTACAACAATATCTATAGTACATATCATGCCATAGGCCGCTGCTTAGTCAAAATCAACTAGACTTTCAAACGATAGTGACAGAATAAATTGGCGGCAGTTAGACCTCTAACATACGATACACGGAACGCTATTTCTAGTTCACGGACATGATTAGGTTTGAACCCGGTAGAACTGAATATATTCCCTCTAAACTCTATTACGCCTTTTCTCGAACTGAAACCGAAAAGGTGTTATTTGGCCAATAAGACTTACCCCGCGCCAGCCTCGAATACGAGCGTGTCACTTATAGATCAAATACTAGCATTCAATGTTTGGACGTCGCTGCATTGTATGCTCGGACCAGTATCAATATAGTTTATTATAGAGATGTGCAAGCAATGTAGCAAACACCACGGTCTTTCAAGTTACTTAGACCTGTCTTATAAGATTTATTCACCACACAAATAGGAAGATTCTTTTTGTAGTCTGTGAATCCGATCGTCCGCGTTTCGTAGTTAGTGCACCAAATCGTTTATTTTCGAGGTAATTCTTTCCACAAAAGTGTCTTTGTTCATTCTCTTTCCAGCCTCCCTTTGCTCCCTTGACTCTGTATCCTACGAAACGCGACCCCTGTTTTACGTCGCCGTGTCCTCTCCTAATTGCTTCGAGAGTCGCGCAGAACGCCAGCGTCTTTGGCATCATCTTCGAGCCCTGCTTTACAGGATGCGCAGTACGCTCATGGATCCTTTCGTATTTTTCTCAGGTGTGTCTGAAAATGCTCATGGGAAGCCCGGTAAGAGAATCGGTGGGGTTCTTTCTATCTATCTATCTATCTATCTACTGCTTAATGTTTGCTATTATATAACGCAGAGCCGCTTTAGAGTTGCTTGTAGAAATGGCACACCACGTCGCTATAGTGGCGCCCCAAATTTCGTTGGGATTAGACCAGCGAAACTTGTTGTCTTTTGTTTTAAACCGCCATTAGATTGTATCCGCTACTGGCATGAATGCCCTTAACTTGATGACGGTTCTGTGTATTACTCTGAATGCAACAATTATCTGGGCTTTCCTGAGCAACTCGCTCGTTTGCCTCTCTGAAGCGATTATCGATGCTCGGACTGGTGCGTGGCAAAGCCATATTAATACTGGTTCAGATTAGCGATTGATGTTAGTGACCTACCGAGTCGCTGATGTTAAGCATCAGCTCATTCACTGTGCCACTGCAATCTTGACGTATGAGGTTTCATGCATGGTTTAATCCTGTTACGTCCGAAGGTATCCAGCTGTCTGATGTGATCGTAGCTCCCTTCGATTTTATTTTCATTTGTGAGTTATGAGCGAGGCCATTTGACCTTCAGTTGGCATTAATGTCGGATCGATCCCTTCCGTCTATCTCACCCAACGCCTCCCTTGCTGAGCGTATACGCACGGTAACTGCGACATTGTCAATATACACTACGTGCTAGAAAATACAAATGACGTATTCGCAAAGGTCCTGCTAAAAGTTTTTTCACTGAATAAATGGCTTGCCTAAAGTCGAGTAATTTCGATTACCGTGCACCGAAGTAACAAAATTCGTACGAGCGGTAATCGTCAGGGCGTCCTGATTAATGATTGCTTGCGATGATAGCGCAATCAACATAAACAGACTTTATACATTAAAGAAAACCTCTGTGCAACGTTGAGCGATGTGCTGTCTCGCGTGGCTAAAAATGTATCACCCATAGTGTAAACTTACACGGACTAAAAAGCTTCCTGGTGTGGTAGTTTCTTATCAACGAAAACATTATTGCAGGACTCTGATCCTAACATTCAGCCCCAACGGATGACGTCCTCGTCTACGTAAATTTAAGGTCGATTCTAGGTGTATATGCGGGCGAAGGGGCCGAATCGGAGACTGCTTGTTTTCAACCGGAAGTTTGACCATCCGAGACCATCTCGCCCTCGATATTAAGAAAATGCGTAATCACGGGTGGCTTTTTAAAATATTGCAACGACAAGAATCAAAACAAATTTTAAAATTGTAAAACTCAAAGAAGGTATACGTACAGTCAGTCAATAGCAGATCTTTCCTACAACTAAAATATTAATATATATTTATTGTCGTCTTATATTATTATTAGACGTTATCTGAACGCATGTTACGGCTCTCAGGTAACAAAATCACGGAACGTTTTGGCAAAGTGCTCAATATTGCTACAAACCCATTTGAACATTGGAAAAACCAAAACATATAATCATTATAATATTTCTACACCGAAAATGCTATCAGTAAATTTACTAGTTAGACTATATCTATATAGATTATACGGGTCGGTGGGTTACGTAACGCAACTTGTTGCCGATCATCAATTGCAAGTAACCCAGGCTGAGATACGAGTTTCGTCTGTACACAGATATTGCAGAGTCAAAATTTACCAGCTATTTTTCTTTACCTTGCCCCGTTCTCTAGTCATTCAGATGTGCCAATGTTGATAAACTCGATTAGTGATAGATTTAGTACAAAACTGAGTTCTTGATGGGTCGGCCATACATCTCTTGTTAAGTGAGCGTAGATAGAATCATTTCAAATAGCCAAATACCAATTTTCTCATGTTCGATAAATGCTTGAAGATTCAAAGCCAGTGTCGCGATTACTTGCGGTTTGGACGTTTAGTAAAAATCAAACAAGTATACACCATCGCCTGAAAACGATGCGTTTGTAAAGCAAAGAGGCACAATGGTTAATATTTTGAAGAGGAGGTCTATTTCCTGGGTTTCATTTAGATAAGATCTTATCGAAATCATATGCCGGATCGATTTGGCCACCTTTTCAATCCGTTTCAAGGAGTCTACAAAGGTTTCAAGACATAATGAAGCAAACTTTGACTCGCGTTTAGCCGAGAATGAATCTGTGGCTCAAAAAAAAAAAAGCGAAATCGTCGCTATTTAGCTCGGTAAATAATCTCAAAAAAATATGTATTATAATAATGGATAGTAAGTAAACAATACATCTAAAGATACAGAATTTTCAACGCGGCGAAAAGTAGTTATAGAACGCAGAGAAGCACGACTTGCAAGCATCTACGTATTGCTTAGGTAACAGTCAATAATACTACTCGTATACATATATATATAACAACAATAAAGCAGTCGTACATGTTTAACAAATTTACCAACTCAAATATCTTTAGCATGTCCAGCCCCGTTCCGAGTTACCGTATGCTAGGCCGAGAAACGGGTTTTGAATGCGACCCAGCACGAAATACACTACTGTGTTTTCTTGCAAACAATTTTTTTAAAGTACTTTTTGTGTTATTCAGTCAACCGTAGATCTTATAAGAACAACATATTCATCTGGCTGCTTATTTACACATAAAGCCAGAGACAGAAATTTATAATGCTGGCATTATAAGAGAGTTGCATTTGAGGTAAGACCTCGATCTCTGCATACTCAGCTTGCTGGCGCAAAGCTGGTATTCAGGTTTTAAGGAATAGTGACCTGTGTTTTATTTGTATTTATTATATATTTTATTTGCTTCGACACCTTTGTCTACCTAAATAGGCGATAAGAATTTTCAGACACCCGCAACCTGAGTCCTTTTTAAAGTATGCTTTACTCGGACCAAATATTTGGTATTTCAAATAGCACAACGCTTCATTATTTAAAGGCGCATTTGGTTTAGAAATAATGGTTCGCAGCCCGAATTTAAAACTTACCTGTACACGTTATCCTGCCAAGTATACTTACTTCATTTGAAAGCTACTGACCATTGTTCACCTTTAAGCTTCTGTCGCATCTAAGCAACGCTGCGTTACGTTCGCGTGAGTTGGTTCAAAAGCCATAGAAACTAGTACAGATATTTAATCGGCTTACTATAGATCAGACTATATAAAACGAATAGAAGATTTCAGTCCACATTTTTCCTCGGGCAGAGAATAACCATTTCATGTTGTCTTGTTAAAATTGAAGTAAAAAACTTGTAGAATGCATAGAAAAATTCGTTATACTTCCTACTGCATTTAATTGATAACCTTGATAATTCTAATTAGTGATCCAGTGCAGCCACTGGCTTTTACAGATGATAAGCATGGCTTCTCTTAATACCCTGATGCCTGGAACTGAGCAGGCATTACAACCTGCTCTGCCTAAAGGACATCTACTAATACACGTGTTACGTCATGTAACTCAAATTTTTAGCATCACAAACTAGTAGAGTACAATAACTCTTTTAAGAACTTTCAGTATTATGGGTGTAGGACAGCAAAGTCTATTTAATTATCATTAAGGAAAAGAAAAATAAAAATAATTTCAGCTTTAATCTATGTCAAGTACTACCATTTTAAATGTTTAAAAATTTGACTGAATGGCTTAACTGAAAAAAACAATTGCATAAGCCTTTAGTGTGCGGCATTATGAGCCATATATATTTTGAAATGTAAAAATTATGTACTTTAATTGCAGGATATACGAAAACGTGGTGACAATGCCGTGTGGTTTGTACTTCGGTTTTACATAGAAGAAATAATTCTATTTTTAGATTGTTTAATGTTTTATTTGATTCTAAATTCTATTCAAACGACAGTACGCTTAAGGATTATTTTTGCCAAAAGTCGGAGTCACAAAACTCAAAGGTTAGATTTTACCCGAAATAAAATAACAAGAGACATTCGACTTATTTGGTTCCCTTAGCAGAATATTTCCGATTTCCGGACATGTGCCAATGACCTAGCCGATGTCGTGGCTGCAGATGATCGTACTGCAGCTATCCAATGCTTTTCTTTAAGGGGTATAGCATAATACATTAACGTACGTTGCACGGAGATTCAGTACGCTAATACTCATCGAATTTTATAATCCTAACCTGATGAAATGTACCTTCCGACCCTTCAAAGGCCTACATGCTGCTAACCGCATCAGCATTGTTTCAGTGCTCGTTTACTGAGACTTCATCTGTTCGAAGTTATTTTACAAAAATAGTGAGATTCTCCTCAAGCACTACTCAGTGCGGCTCCTATATAAACCTCACGGATTCTTTGTTCGTCAATATGCTGCAGAACGTTATCTGCGTTCCCTTGAGCCTCCTTCAGCTGTTATGAGCTATATAAAACACAGATGTTAACTAAATGTTTCCATCATGTACGTTTGGTATTGCCCGTCTCCAAATAGAACACAGATGAGTATGACATCTCTCCTATGTCTATTATATCACTTTCTTAGGCTTCGGATTAGTGCTTTGACCCATTGAGTGTGTATATGTCCACGGCACCAGCTGCAAGAGGTGTTTCGCCACACATAGCTCTCTACTTGGTTGACACCGTCATTCGCTCAGTTCACCAAAAGGTTTTCATTGCATTTCAACGCTAGATCGTCAATTGAAGCGCCCCGTCGTTGCTTAGATTTTAAAATCTACGTGGATTGCAACTTAGGAAAATGCGAGGTCATTTTCACGGGAGATTCACTGGACCAGCGAAATGTTGAAACCCAATTCAGCGCCGTGGTTTTTCCCGAAACGAACTACATTCATTCTGAGGCTATAGACCATTTTGGGCCCTTGATTAATTTGTGTCGATTTTTTTAGAATCGTGTAACTAAACCTCGACTGCCTACCGGACTCAAACCCCATATGAGTATGACGCTCTCATAAACCATGTTATGTTTATGACTATACAGCAGGAGGTCGCTTCGCTTTGCTTTATGTGTACAATGTGAACCTGTTTGACTGATTGTCATGTTGAGAATTAACGGTTTATGATCCAACGACTCGACAGATGCTGGATAAAATATTCAATAAAATTAACTAATTTGCATATATTAAAAGCTGTTATATTTGAAATCCGTGAGCCTTTACTCGTTCACCCTGCAATGAACCAGCTGACGCGAACAGATTATAGATCTTGAATTGAGCTTAGTGTCAGGAAGATGATCCAGATACGCGGAAGCCCACAGAAACCTATGGCTTTAGCAAAAAAGGCCAAGAATACTAGCCACAATATTGACTACAGCCTGCC